TACTAGAGCGAGATGGAATAACTTGTTTCTTACTACGCCATGAAATAAGAGAGTTACCAAGAAAGAGACAATAGCCAGTAGTGGATCTTCGATCTGTAAGATCACCAGCCCAATCAGCGTCTAAATATGCATGAAGGACAAGGGAGGAATGAGCTGAGAAGTGAAGTCCATGAAATAGTGTTCCCTTAACATAGCGAATAATACGAAGTACAACGGCATAATGAGTGGAGCGAGGGGCAGCCATAAACTGACTAACAACATGAACTGCATATGCTATGTCTGGGTGTGTCGTAGTAAAACTATCAACCAACTACCGATAACGAGTAGGGTCAGGGAGTGGAGAACCATCTAATGGTGTGAGCTTGACATTCAGTTCAAGAGGTGTGGAGACATTCTTACTATCAGTGAGATCGATTTTAGATATAAGATCTTATGCATATTTCATTTGAGAGAGAAGATAACCAGCATCTGAGGATGTAACTTCAAGTCCCAAAAAATAACTCAAAGAGCCAAGGTCTTTCATCTCAAATCTGTGGCTGAGAAACTGCTTAAGCTCATCAATCCCTGAAACATCATCTCTAGTGATAATCATATCATCAACATATATGAGTAAGAGAACCATTTCCTGAGCAGATTTACAAACAAATAAAGCTGTATCATGTGGACTAGAGATGAAACCAAACTTAGTTACAGTAGAACTGAATTTTGCAAACCAAGCTCGAGGAGACTACTTTAAACCATGCAAGGCTCGTCGCAATTGACATACCTTATTCGAAGGAGGAGTAAGTCCAGGAGGCAGTTTCATATAAACCTCGTATTCCAAATCACCATTAAGAAAGGCATTCTTCACATCCATCTGAAACAGCTTCCATTTACGTACAGCAGCAATAGCTAGTAAAGTACATACTGTGGTAAGACGAGCAATAGGAGCAAAGGTCTCCTCATAGTTAATGCCATATTCCTTCGTAAAACCCTTTGCCACCAAACGTGCCTTATAGCGCTCCACAGATCCATCATAATGAGTTTTGATCTTGTATACCCACTTGCATCCAACAAGAGTCTTATCAGTAGGAAGATCAACCAAGTCCCAAGTACTTGTCTTTTCCAAAGCCTGTAATTCCTCTTTCATAGCTTGCTACCATAAAGGATGTAAAGAAGCTTCCTTGTAGGACTAAGGTTCATGTAAAGAGGTGAGTGCGGAAAAACAATAATAATGTTGAAGATATGTAGGTGGATTTCTTACCCGCGTAGGATGACTAGAAGAGGAAGTAACTGGTGGATTTTCAATCTCATTTGTTCCAAGTGCAATATCCGCAGAAGAGACATCTTTTGAAACAGGAGTCGTGGAAGTTTGATCATTTGAAAGCTCATTAGGAGACCCTGCATCATCATTAGGAAATAACTCAAGGGATGGATTAGTGAAGACTGAAGATAGAAGGTTGATGAGAAGGAGACACCTTGAATTCAAAAAGAGAAGCAAACATAGTGTGTTCCCAAAAAACAACATGATGAGAGACACGGAGTTTTTGTGATACTGGGTCCCAACAACAATAACCTTTATGTTGTATCCCATACCCTAGAAAACAACAAAGTTGAGATCGAGGCTCTAACTTGTGATGTTCATGAGAAGGTAAAAGAACAAAACAAGCACAACCAAAAATTTTAAGAAGATCATAGGTAGGAAGAATACCGTAGAGACACTCATAGGGAGATTTATTTTGTGTGACGATGAAGGGGACTCGATTTATGACATAGATAGTTGTAAGTGCATCTTCACCCCAAAAACGCTCAGGACATGAAGAGGAAATCAAGAGAGCACGAACTAAGTCCAAAATATGACGATGTTTTCACTCAACCCGCCCATTTTGTTGAGAGGTATATGGATAAGATCTTTGTTGTATTGCGCCCTACTCTTTAAGAAAAGACTGAATTTTAGAATCGAGATATTCAAGAGCATTATCAGTTCTCAAGACCTTGATAGTTTTAGAGAATTGAGTCTTGATCATATTAGCAAACTCAACATAAATTTGAGGTAATTCTGAGCGTTTTTTCATCAAATATAGCCAAGTGAAGTGAGAATGATCATCAATAAATAACACAAAATATTTTGAACCACCCATGGTAGGAGTGGGAGATGGCCCCCATATGTCAGAATGTACTAAATCAAAAGGTGCAAGTGAAATGGAATCACTTTTATTAAAAGATAAAGCAAGATGTTTAGCAACTTGACACGAGACACAATGTAAAGACTCTTCTTTAATAGAACCTAAAGACCCATTTTGAATTAAAGGACGAAGTTTACTAATAGAGGCATGACCAAGACGAAGATGTCACAAGTGCAAGGAGGAAGATGTTAAGACGGCACACAACTGGGAAACATAACTAGAAGGGATGTGCAAGGAGGTGAGCTCAAACAAACGTCCAACTTTATGGCCTATCCCAAGAATCTGTCCTACCTGTGGATCCTGCACACAACAACCATGAGTAGAGAATATTAGTTCAAGACCAAGTTCACATGGTTGTCCCACAAAAATAAGATTGAAAGTAAGTTTTGGTATCAGGAAAGTGTTTGGTAAGGTAAGCGTAGAAGTAGAAACTTGACCATATTAACTAACTTGCATTTGTGAAACATCAGCAGTATGGATAAGAGGTGCGGTGGTATTAGCAATTAATGTAGAAAAAAGTGTAGAGTTTGAGGTCATATGATTACAACAACCCGAGTAAAAAATCCAAGAAACTTTACCTAGGATGGTAGGCAAGGCAATAGATGTAGAGGAAGATGATACCATCTGTCTAAGAAGGGTTTCTAGATTACCAATCGAAGGATGGACTAAGGTATCCCCATTGGTAGCAGCTGGAACAACCACAGGCTTGGAAGACTGATCAGGCTTTGATTGGGTCTTCCACTGATTAGATCTCTGAGGTAGTGAAGTAGTACAATTAGGCGCAATATGGCCTTTCTGCTTGCATTTATGACATTCTACTAAATTGCATTCATATAGAGCATGTCCGTACTTGTTATAGTGCTGACAATACTTTTGTCCTCTCTTACTCGAAGGAAACTTGTTGATAGTTGCAGCCACAGTAGTATCTCGTTTAGGCTTAAGTGAGCCTAAACGAGTTTCATTAGATAATAATCGTGAGAGAGCACTATCCAAGATAGGTAAAAGAGACTGATGCAATAAAGAGGCTCTGCATGGTTCAAAATCATCAGTAAGTGCCATAAGAAATTGAATTAACCTCATTTTATCACGATACTTAATGTACTTCCTAATATCAACAGTGTTATTGAAGGTTGGTTCTGAGAGAGCAAGCTGATCCCAAATAGCCTCCATCTTAGCATAAAAACTAATAATGGACTTTCCATGTTCTTGTTTCAAATTGTGTAACTCTTCCCACAATTGATATTGACTGGATAAATCAGAGGTGGTATACCTGGCTGCAAGCAAATCCCACACTTCCTTAGCTGTTTCATACCGTCCAAACTGAAGGTGAATGGAGGGAATTGAGGTGTTACGAAACCAAGTGATGATATGATGATACCAAGTGATGATCTGATGATTTTTGCTATCCCAATCCTCCAGACGGTCAACATACTTCTTATCTATCTCATCAGTAATTTTCTGTGGAAGTGTAATGTCACCAGTAATATACCGCCATAATTTTTGACCTTTCAAGAAACTACGCATACTTTGAGCCCACAGTACATAATTTGAACCATTGAGAATGGTTGAAATTGGTTGCGAAATATTAGATTTCTCCATAATTAAATAAAAAAAAAGGATATGCTGTAAGAAAAGAAAATCTAACCAAGCAGAACACTGAGTCGAAGTGGAACATCAGAAAAGATGGGAGCGAAAAATCTTTGTACAGAAAAAATTTCGGCTGATATATGGTCGATATGCAACTCCGAAAAATCTCTGTGAAAGATTAGAGAAAACTCATAGAAAATAATGCAGGAGAAACAGCAACAATCACAACGAGAATTTCAGACACACAACAGCAATTACGACAGCCAAATATGGGTGAAAGATTAGAGGAACCCGTAGGAGAAACAGTAGCAATCACATCAGTAAAATCTGAAACTAATTTTGCAAAGAGGAACACGATTGGAACGAGTGGAACACGATTGAACAAACACCACTGGAAACGGTGCTGGTCTGAAAATGTGACTAAAACAAGTGATGGTGGTTGGCACGAAACATTGCTGATGTAGAGAATTAAAAACACAAAATCTTAAAGAAATAAAAGAGCCCACTGTGCTCTAATACCATGTGAGGAAATAAGCAGGAGAGAAAAATATGAAGAAAATACTTTTCTTGATTCATTTGAATATACAAAGTGCCTATTTATAGGCCTGTACAAAAGAATATTTTGTGGTACAAAATCAATTAATCTAATTATGTTAATCAATTATAATCTGAATATAATCATAGCAATGTGGACATAATCAAGAAAGAATATTCTATAACAAACTCAAGAAAAGAGATTCACATGATGCTTGATCATGGAACAAGGTATATATTAAGCTCAGGTCTGGGACTTAAACGGCTAAATATCTTTCCATTCAAGGTACACATAGTATTTAGGATTCAATGTGTTCACTGAAATCAGAGCATTACTCTGTCACATAAATATGTGAAATCGTTGCCCCTTGTCAATTGATTTTTATTCAGGTTGCTGCGTTTGATAAGAATAAGGGTACCTTTTTTCTTTTCTTTTGATATGCAAGAATAAGGGTAACTGACATTATTTGATTCAACAAAGGGTTCAAAACTTCTTCACATTGGGCACCAAGGTACCTTTTCTCCACATACTCTTGAGATTCATGTTGCTTCGGTAGTTGGAGAGTGCTTATCGAATGTTATAATAATAACTTATTCATCTTTGCAGCATGTTGCATATTGATTTTTGATATTGCTTTTGATTACATTCAAGCAAAAATTAAACATGTTGAACTATCCATGTCAAAAGAATCAAAGTTATTTTATTATATGTTTCCTATATAATCCATACAAATAGAATTAATGAAGAAAATTGTGAATCGAATTACAGTATATCTATGCAAAAACTAAAAGAATGAATAAATTATAGCCTCTACAAACATAAAGGAGAATGTTGAATTTTGGGTGGTAAGAATGAGGGAGAAAGGGGACATTGAGAGATGACTTGGAGGAGAAGGAGAGACACCCGGAGTTCCCTCTTTGCTGAGGTTAGAACCCATTTTCTTCCATTGATATTCTGCTATTTATAGCAAAAACAACACAACATAACATAGAACATAAGGCCATAAACACGGAAGGGTGCAGAAATTCACCCAACCGGAGAGGAAAAACCATGCTTTCTCTCTCTCAATTTTCTTCAATTTCTTCATTCCTTCTTATAGAGGAAGGCTACACATAAAATAATAATATTTTTTTACTTGATACAATAATTATTAACTACCTAAACCATTGACTAAAATGATGAAGTTTTCTGTCATCTCTTGTTGCCATGTGAAGATCCATGCTGCTATCAGCTACTGTGTAGTCATGTTGCAACATCATTTAGCAAATTTCATTTGATTGCATTTTCAGCTTTCATGCCATAGCTCCACCAAACTTTACCTTGGCATTAAAGCTGCAAAAACAAAATTTTACTTTAGAACATTGCTCTGCCATTTTCAGTTCTTTGTGCCTTGGTTTCGTTTGTTATTTGCTGCCAACTACCATTTTCTTAAATATTTCAGCTCCTCCTGCAAATCAGCTTCACATACACTAGATTTTTGCAATTTGAATAGATTCTGGAGCCTTAAACATTTTCAGCAACTCCACCATTGCAGCAGCTTTGTCCGTGGATCTTTGCTGCTTCAGTACATTCTAGAGTTGTTATTTTTTCTTCTCCACCAAACTTCTTTGCCATAAAGTGATGGAGTTCACAAATACATGAACATGAAGAGTTTTTTTTATGAAAAAAACTCATAACATTCAGAAATACAAACATAAAAGATGGTAGAAGAACACACAATGAAACTGAGATGTTGTGCTTAGTTTTCCTTTGCCATCATCTCCATCAAACATTCCTTTCCATGAAGCCATGGGAGTTTGGAACATCAAAGTGACATCCATGAAGAGTTTTCTAGGGAAAACTCAAAACATATCCATATCAAACGTGAAAGATGGATGTAGAATATACCATGAAACAGAGTTCTTGTGCTCAGCTTCCCATTCCATCAACCATGATTTGCCTTTTGGACTAATTTTGGAAACAAACATGAACACCTTATCTTTGAATCTAGTTTTCCTTTCCTTGACATCTCCCATGGTGGGACTAACATATGCCTCCATCTTCACAGCTTTTTTAACTGCAAGATTTTGGCCAAGCAAGAGGGGTTTCACATGAAGAACCATTTGAAAACAATGAGAAAGGTGGGTTTTTTTCTGGTGTTCCCTCAAAAAACAAACTCTCACAGATCCCTCAAGAATTCAACTCTGATACCATGTTGGATTTTGGGTGGTAAGAAGGAAGGAGAAGGGGGGATTGAGAGAGGACTTGAAGGAGAAGTAGAGACACCCGAAGTTCCCTCTTTTGGTGAGGTTAGAACCCATTTTCTTCAATTGATATTCTGCTATTTATAGCAAAAACAACACAACATAACATAAAACATAAAGCCATAAACATGAAAGGGTGCAGACATTCACCCAACCGGAGAGGAGAAACCATGCTTTCTCTTTCTCAATTTTCATCAATTTCTTCCTTCCTTTTTATAGAGGGACGTTACACATAAAATAATAATATTTTTCTACTTAATACAATAATTATTAACTACCTAAACCATTGACTAAAATGATGAAATTTTCTATCATCTCTTGTTACCCATCTAAAGCTCCATGCTGCTGTCAGCTACTGTGCAGTCATGTGTGCAGCATCATGTAGCAGATTTCATTTGATTGCATTTTCAACTTTCATGCCATAGCTCCAACAGAGAAATCTGAAACAAATTATAGGATATGCAAGCATATGTTTAAAGAATGAAAAAAAATTTGAAGCATTATATGCGTTTCTTCCATTTGAGATAGCTGAAAACAGGTCTCTCTGGCACCGGTATGCACTTGACAATCCAGCCAATGGGCCAAGATACAGCAACCATGGCGATGCAGGCACCCCATTGTTCCCAATTCAACCTCTCTGTACCTGCAAACCGCTTTAGAAACTCAACCATCAGCACTTGAAGAACAACGGTCATTCCAACGATCCCTAAAAACAGCTTGTTCTTATGAATACCCTTGAACACATTCTTCTTCTCCAGCTTCCTTGCGTTGAATTCATTGAAAACTTGGCAGAGCACAAAAATGTTGAAGATCAAGGTGTCATTCACTGCTTCAGTCACACTGAAGATTGATTCTCCTTTGAATTGTAGGATCAAGAGTACTGCAACCTGGTAAAAAGCCTGAGCTAGGAGGTTCCTCCACATGATATTGGTAATCAGTGGCTCTGTGCGACCAACAGGTGGCTTCTTCATCAACTCTTTGGTGGGCTTCTCTGTAGCCAGAGCCAGTGCACCCAATGTGTCCATGATCAAGTTCACCCACAAAAGCTGAACAGCCGTTAAAGGAACTTCACCTGTAGAAATGGCTGCCACGAAGTTGATCACCAGAGCAGCAACATTTACTGTCAACTGGAATTGAATGAATTTCTGTATGTTAGTGTAAACACATCTACCCCACTTCAGAACAGTGACCACAGAAGCGAAATTGTCATCCAAAATGACGATATCGGAGCTCTCCTTCGCAACTTCCGTCCCTTGAATCCCCATTGACAAACCAATGTCTGCTTCTTTAAGTGCTGGAGCATCATTGGTACCATCCCCAGTGACTGCAACTACATG